ACCGGTCAACATTTCAAGACAGAGGACCTTCTGGCACGCAAAGATCGCTGTTTTGTAGAAGAGACTAAGGCTGACCCGTGGACTCCGTCTACGACATCTTTCTGGAATGGTTCTCGGAGGAACGGCAGAGACTTTGCCGAATACCTATGAGCACGGCGGCGGCCGGGGCGGCGGCAGCGAGACCGCCCCTCCGTGTCCGAGCTCTTGCAGCGCCCCAGCAGCTTGGCCATGGCGGGGCCGCCGTCGTCGGTCGCTGTCGTCGCCGCCGCGACGCCGCCGTCACACCCGTCGCTGTCGGCGTCGTTTTCGTGGTGGTGGTGGTGGTGATCGTCGTCGTCGTGGGTTGTGGGCACCGAAGGAAGCTGGCGACGTCGGTAGGAGGACTGACCCGTGGACTCCGTCTAGGAAATCTGCGCAAACTGGCATCTGATTGCGGGGCCCGACCTTACATTCCGCGCATGCTACTGCGTGCTGCTGCTTGCTGCCGGTTTTGTGTACTCTTGGTAGTGCTTGAGGCCGCTGCTGCGTGTTCTTGCTGCTTGTGGCTGCAGGTTGCTGCTGATGGCCAGTTCCGCTTGGGGCGTGCTTCTACCCGATGCCTGCCACTGCTTGCTGCTGCTGTGTGCCGCCACTGCTGCTCTGTTTCGCGCCCACAGGAGAGATCGATGCTGCCCCAGGGCGCTGGAAATGTCGCACGGTGGACTGTGCATGGGGGCTCACTGTGGACGCGCAGGGAGCCACGTCCTTTTGGGCGTCGTCTCCGCGCCCCTCTGGGATCACACTGTGTTGGGGGCTGCACTCCCTGGAGGCCTCTAGTGTATCTGGCCTCACTTGGGCGGCAGCGGCGAATGGCGCCCTGGAGCTGGGAGGCAATAGTAAGGGAAGTAGCGCCCATGTGGCTGTTCATTATTCCGCGCTCTTTCGCTCGCGCCCGCGCCCACCGAGGAGAGCAATGCTCCCTACTATGCGGCCACTGATGGCGGGCGCTTCCTTCTTCTTGGGAACCGTTTGGGAGCCTCTCGGGGTTTCTTTTCGGCCTCTTGGGGGCCTTTTTTGGGGCCCCCTTGGACCGTCTTGGGGCCTCCTGGGGGCCTCTTGGGGCCCTCATGGGCCGTCTTGGGTGCCCCTTGGGCCGTCTTGGGGCCGTCTGAGGCCGTCTTCGGCTTGGGGCCGTCTTGGGGCCGTCTTGGGCCGTCTTTGACCGCACTTAGGGCTGCTTTGGTTGACTCCTGGGCCGTCGTGGGCGCCTCAGGAGCGGTCCTGGGGGCGTCTTGGGCTGGGCCGTCTTGAGCTGTCTTGGGGCCCTCGTGGGGCGCTCCTGAGGCGTCCTGGGGCGATCTTGGGGGCGTGCATTGTCCTCTTGGACGCTTTGAAAACGAAAAGCACGGGAATTGAAAAAATGTACGTTTTCCCTCGGGTTTGGGACGATTTTTGCTTATGCGGGCTCTCTCGGGACTGTTCTTGGAGCCCACTTCGAGGCCGTCTTGGGAGGCGTTTCGCCTGTCGTCGGAATCTCTTGGGCCGCCCTGGGGCTCGCTCGGGGTCCGCTCGGGCCGTCGGGGCGCTCTCTTGGGTATCTCTGAGCCGTCTTAGGGCCGTCCGGGGCCCTCTAGCCGCCGTGGTAAGGCTCTCCGCGACCGTCGCAGCGCCCTGGGGCCGCCCGAGGCCGTCGCAGGGCGCCCCGGGGCCCCCCGAGTGTGCGCCGGGCCCCGCCGGAGGGCTCTGCCATTTGATCCACCTTCCTTCCGGCACGCGTTTGCTCTGGCCATGTAATATAAACTAGTGTGTACCCGTGTTTCCTGCCACTGGCGGCTGTCGTGCCAGAGGGCACGAAGAGGGCTCCCAGAGGGCTCCAAGAGGGCCGCGGGCCCACCATTCTGCCACAAGAGGCCTTTCTGTGGCAGAATGCACCTGGCCCTGTCTTGGAGGGGCCCGAAGGCTTCAAAAAGGCCTGACGAACACCCCCAGGGGGGCCCAAAAAAGCCCCAAACCGCATGTACTTGATATGCTTCATGGGCTTGCTAAAGGGGCACCGAAGTACATGCGTCATGAGGCCTTGTCGGGGCCCTCTTGGGGCCCTACTGGCCCCCTCTTGGGGCCCCTCGGGATCGGTCCAACCCTGTCCTGGCCCCCTCTTGGGGCCGCCATGGGCGCCTGAGGAGCCGTCCTGGCGCAGTCTTGAACTGTTGGGGCCCTCCTGGCAGCCTCCTGAGGCGTCTTGGAACGATGAGGAGGGCCTGTGTGACCGTCTTGGACGCTTCGAAGACGATGAACGGGAACTGCCGAAATGCACGTTTCCCTTGGGGATTGGGACGATTTGTCCTTGTTCGGGCTCTCCGGGGGCTCTCTCTGGAGCCCACTTGGAGCATTTTGGAAGCCTCTTGGGCCGTCGGGCGGCTGTCTTGGGCGTTCTTCGAGCGCTCGGGGCCCGTCTCGGAGGCCCCCTTGGACCGTCATCGGCCGTCTTCGGGCCATCTTGGGGGCTTCTGGGTGCGGCTCGGAGCGCTCTGAAGCCATCTTGAAAGCTCGCCGAAGCCCCGGGGCCGCACCGATGGCCGCCAGAAGGGGCCGGTCCACTGCCACTGCTCGCCAGTTTGTCCAGCCGTGAACGCTGCATTGTAGGAGAGATGACGTTGGGCTCGCGCTTCACATCCCGCATCTCGCTCAGCAGCGCCAGCGCCGGCTGCCAATGCTCGCCCTTCTCGCACGCGCTGATCCCAGCGTTGTAGGAGACCAGGGCTGACCCGTGGACTCCGTCCACGACATCTTTCTGGAATGGTTCTCGGAGAAACGGCGCAGATTGCACCGAAAATCTACAAACACGGCGGCGGCTCGGGCGGCGGCAGCGAGACCGCGTCTTCGTGTCCGAGCTCTTGCAGCGCTCCAGCAGCTTGGCCCAGCGCACTGCTCGTTCACCCCCCTCCTATTGAGGACAGTTTCGAAGTCTCTCGGGGATGTGCGTCGAAGTCGAAGCCCATCAGAGGCGTCTCAGGAGCGCTTGGGGAAGGGCTCGGGAGACCATCGGGGAAAGCCACCGAAAGCGCCGGGGAGGCTCGCAAGGATCTACAGGGAAGCCCAAGAGAGCTTCAAGAAAATTCGAAATTGTATACAATCCGCCGATCCGGCGTGTGAGTTTCAAGGGGTCTCAGCTAGAGCCTCGAGGCTGAGCCTCAGCCTCTGGGGGGGTTGCCGGGGTGGCTCTGCCGGGGAAGGGGGGATGGGGGGGGGAGGGTGCGAATTTCCGGCGGATGCGGGGTGACGGCCCAAGAGCCCCCCCCCAAGCGTCCCCAAGAAGACCCCAAAGAGGGACGAAAAGTGGAAAAAACGGAGGCCCCAAGAGCTCCCAAGAGGGCCCCCAAAAGCCTACAAGAAGAGCCCCAGGACGCCTTGACAGGCCCCTAAGATGCCCCAAAAAACGCCCCCAGACGCCTAAGAGCTCCCAAAAGGGCACCCAAAAGTCTCCGAGAAGCCCCCCAGGACGCCCTGACAGGCCCCCATGTCTGCGGCGCGGGTTGGGTGGTGTGACTGCGTGTGTGCGTTTGAGTGTGCGTCCATAATGTATGCGTCTGGAGAACAACCCCGAGCGACCCGGATCGGCGGCACTGGCCGAAGGCCACTACAATATCTAAAGAAACCGCTGTTGGGTAGGCCATCGCCTCCGGGCGCGCCTTGATGGTGCGTTCCAGTCGCATCACCGCCAACGGGAGGGTTTGTTCGCCATGTCCCATTCTGTTCGCCCAGAAGGTCTGTGGAGGCCTTCGGGCGAACAGAACGGGACAGGGCAAGGAATGGGGAAGACTTGTCCGAACCTCCTGGGCCCCCCAGGTGCTCGCCCGAAGAATGCGGAGAGGTCCCAGGGTCATATCCATGATCTTCTAGTTTGCCAGTGGCGGAAGCTGCTTGAGGTTAAGAACAGTACGCAGGCGCGCTTGACAGTTTGGCACAAACTGCGATACAAAATGCTGTCGGCACCGAACAAGGAGAGGCCTTGGGCCAGCGTGGGCCGAGCGAAGTGCCTTGAGAGAAGACAGCGGCACACACGGCAGATCATTCACGCGAATCACTTACATGATCTTCTATTTTGCCAGTGGCGGAAGCTGCTTGAGGTTAAGAACAGTACGCAGGCACGCTTGACAGCTTGGCACAAACTGCGATACAAAATGCCACACTTCAAACCTTAGGCCCACTACCTAAGCATTGTGCTGGGGTAACCCCGCATACGTTTCCATCTTTCAGTGGATTGCTGTGCAACGCAAGAGGAATGCAACGTTTCTGCAAGGAGAGCGCACAGCTCAGGCGGGCAAGCATTCTTTAGTTTAGTGCTGAACCCGCCATCCGAAAAACCAGTCAACTCCAGATGATGCCCCCCGGAAAAAGAACAGATCCCCTTGCCCTTGCAAGCGAGCTTCTCGAGCCCAGGGTGAGGAACACACTTCCAAAATCGAATGCGAGTGCGGGCGCGAAACGGGCGCCCGCAAGCACAGCAATCCACAACTCGATCACAAACTTGCGGGAGGCGGGCACGTGCTAGGCGATCAGGGCGAAGCCATAGGAAGCTTTGCCAAGGATTCTCTTCACCGCCTGGCACATTCATCTTGTAAAAAAAGTTTCTGGATGCGTTGTGAGACCCACCCTAACTTGTTGGAGACTCGAAGGCTCTCAATGTCTTGACCCTCGAGGTCAGGAAGCCCAAGAGGAAACTCGGGGCTCCTGAGAGCCGAAGGCATGTTACGAGACGGCGGAGCCCTGCGAGCCCTGGAGCACCCGCTACAAGGCGTCCCCAAAAACACGAATTTGACAAGGCCCGAAGAGATCCAGCCTCTGAGGGTCCCCCAGACAGCAGGGCGAGTTAAATCAAAATGATCTCCGTGGCGCACATCCCACTCCACCACCGCCTCCCCTCTATGACGCAAGTGTTTACTCAACTCACCACAGCCCGAGAAGACCTCCACGCAGACTCGGGACTGATGCGGCGCGCTGCGATGTGCCGCGCCAAGGACCTGTTGAAGACGCCGATGTGATCCAGTCCTGCGGCTCGCAGCGCATCGCGGAGATGGTCGGGCAACTTGCGAAGCTCCATCGACAGGCGTCCGTGCCTCTCGTACCTGAGCACTGACTTGAACGCCTTCCATCCTCCGCGCTGCTGCACGGCGCCCAAGCTTCTGGCGCCCGTGCTCCTGTCGTGGCTGGCCCCTCCATGCCGGGTGGGCTTGAGTACGGTCACACCCAGAGCTGAGATCGCACTGCTGAAGTCTGCGGCCAGCTCGGTGCAGCTAAGGCCAAGGAACAGCTCGTCTGGCTCCCGCAACGCTTGGACGAAGGAAATCGACTCTACCAGCCAGTGTTGCCGCTGCAAGTCCAGCGGCACCGAGAGGTCGTACTCGTTCGTTTTGGTCGGGATCTGATACTCTGAAGCTCGGACCACAAACGTCACAAACACTGAGGCGCCTCCTTCCTTCGGCAATGGCAGAACAACCTGGCGGGCTCGCAGGGCCAGCACCTCCGATGGCCGCATGTACGTCTCGAACATTATCAGGACGGCCAAGCCACTGAGAGGCTTCCCAGCTCGGCACAGCCAGCAAGCCACCGCCAGCACCACCACGAACGGAACAGGCGGCCGCGATTGGGAGGGCTCCAGGACGTTCCACCCTTTGAGCGTTTGGTGCGTCAAGGGGAAGACTTCCCGAATGCCTGCCCTGTGCAGCGCAGGCCCCGCCCGCAGCAGCGCCGGCGCCAACCTCTGGGTAGCCGCCTTCGAGCCGCCGCGGTCGTAGATCGCCTCCGCGCACTCCGCCAGCCCCTCGCCCCAGGTCTGCCGCGGCCAGTCCGGGAGGCGCTCCAAGCCAAGCCAGCGCACCAGCCCAAGGACCGTCCCCAGGTACAGCTCCTGAATGTGAGGGCGTACCTTCGCGGCCGCGAGGCGGGTCTGGCGAGGGCAGAGCTGGCGCCTCCTCTGGTCGAAGTCGCTCGCCAAGCGGACGCGGCCAAGCCTTGCGCGCCGCCCGGCCAAGTCTGGCCTGCTCGCGGGCCCAGCCAGAGCCGGCGCGCGCGCGGGAGCCCCAGCGCCTCCGCCGGCGACCAACCCTTCGCAGGGGGCGCTCGGCGAGGCGAACGGCTCCTGCGCCTGCTGGGCGCGCGACGGCCTGAGGGGGAGCTCGCCGGGGCCAGCGGCGTCGGCGGCCTCGCCCGCAGCGCAGCCGCCTCCATCGGCCCCTCGGTCACGCCGGCCTTGAGGCTGGAAACGGCGCGAGGGCTTGTCGCTGGGATTCCACTCTGAGGGGGGCCACCTGACCTGCATCTTCATATCTGCTGCGACGCCGATGGCAAAGATGACACGAGAGACACCGAACAGACGATGGTTGGCAGCACGACCATTGGCAGCAGCAAGAGTGAGGGACATGTTATCTCCGAGAAACAATCGTCGCGACCTGTGCTGTCGAGCGCCCCTTGCCGCTCGCCGCACTGCCCAGGTCAGGGCGGCCCCCTCCAGGCCATGAATGGCCCCCTTGCGCTTCCAGCGGCCGCAGCCCACCACGCGCCAAGGCTGCGCCTGCATCCTCTCGTAGTCGACCTCCGGGAAGCCTGCAGCGCGGCCAGCAAGCAGCAGGGCGGGCTCAGGGGCCCGCGCGATCTCCTGCTCCAGCGCGCGCTCGCGGGGGGCCCCCTCGGCCGCCAGCAGCCCTCGGAAGCGCGCGCGCTCCGAGACTCGCCCAACTCGCTGTGCGCTATCGAGGCCCCACTCGGTCTCGACGATGCCGTAGCCCCAGGGCGACGCGTCAAAGCAAGTGACCATGTCGCTCCAAGGCAGCGTAGCGTCAGCGCGCAGGCACGGCAGCAAGGACTTCACCCAAGCCAGCTCGCGGCGCACGCTCTTCCAGAGCGGCTGCCGCTTGTTGTAGGATGCCCTCGCGAACTCGTGGGAGGCGTGGAGCATGGCGAGGCCCTCTCGGCGCAGCATCAGAAGCGACACCAGGTGGCCGATGAGGCGCTCGAGCTCCTGGCCAGTCACCCTGGCCCCCTTCCGGAGCGCGTGCTCCAGCGCTCCATATATCCGCCAGAGCCGCCGCCCCAGCACCTGCCAGCAGCCAGTGCGCAGGTCGAGCTCGCAGCCCGCCAGCTCCCCGCGCTCGCAGGAGTCGGGGTCCAGCTCCGAGACCACTCCGCGCGCTGCCAAGGCCGACTGCATGGCCTTGACCGCTGTGGCAGCGCGGCCAGGGGAAGATGACAGCACTGCAAAGTTGTCAATGTACAATACCTTGGCATCGTCACTCTTCAGGTCAATCCCAGGGCACTTGTCAAGGCACCAAGGCTGCGACGGCAAAACTGATCTGACAATGTGCAGGTGAGCTTCTTGAATAAAGTGAACGGCCCAACTCCATCCCATGGGCGCCACCTTGAACCGAAATCGAACCTGGCCGCTCTTCAACGAAAGACCGCAGGCACTTCGGACATCGGATGGCAGAAAGCGACTGTCAATCAAAGGCAAGTTGAAGTAGCGCCTGCACCAGGGTGGAAGAGAACATTGATAGAAACAACAGTCAACGTCTCCAGAACTCATCCCGATCAAACTGACTCCAGACGCCTCCAGTGAAGATAGGGCCTCACCCGTCGCAAGAGCAGTATGTTCAGGAGTTGTGAAATGCATGTTCGGCGTTCTGGTATCGCATATGAGACGCGACCTCTTGTCCTTCCGCGCCACAAAGAACAGACCTGCCTCCTCCAGCACGGGCTCCGAGCTGGCCCCAATAACTCCAGAAGCGAGAAGCTCCCCGAGCGCGTGGCCGTAGTCGTAGCCGAGCCGCCCGAGCTTCGGGCCCATGGCGCGAGGAGCACCTGCATCGCTAATTAGTGCTGCTGCCTCCAAAGGGGAACGCAACAGCCCGCGCCCAGTCTCCAGCGTGCGATGCAGATCAGCAGGCAGGACGTCCAGAAGAGAAACCTTCCCGGCGCCAATCTTGGGGAGAGAGATGCTTCCCCGCTGGCAAACTGTTCGAGAACCTGAGGCCTCGACTTCTGAGTAGCCAGGTCTGAGACCCTGAAGCGTCGTCCACGCCTCATGGGGACTCGGGCGATCAACCGGCGGTGACCACTTCCCGTAGATCGCAGCCAAACGCCGAACGGCAACGCGTTGGGCCGCCGTCAGCGGGGCTGAGGCAGGCACATGGCGACCCTGCCCGCCCAGCTCGTTGAGGGAGGCGATGCCATCGATCAACCACATATCCTGACGCCTCCTGGTCGCAGCCCTGCGCTTCGCAGACAGTGAAGTACCAAAAGCAGAACATCCACTAAGCAAAGACATCAGCTCTGAACCAATCGGAATCGGCAGCAGATCACGGTGGCGGCCTCCGACGCCGTCGTCGCAACACATAGCGCAGACGATGCCGCGCGTCTCCTTGAAGATTGTCGACCGCTCGGGGGCAGGCGGGCGACCAAGGAACCTCGGACTCAGGATGGGGCTACGCAGCCCCCTCACCCGCCTTGCCATTGGCCTTTGCCTTGGCCTTGGGCGCAGGTGTATCCCCGACCGCTCCGCCACGAGCAAGAATCTTCTCTTCGCGACCTTTGCGACGTTCTTTGAGCACAGTGGCCTCCGGTTGAAGGCGACCCGAAACCCAAGTCTGTAGCTCAGGAGACACCAAGGCCCCTCCACGGCCACGTTCTTGCCCAAGAAATATTTCACGTTCATCGAGCCAGGCCGATCCGCCCGAGTCACGAGCTGCACCGGCCTCATGTTCACGAAGCCTCTTAGCGTAGACCTCTCCCCAGAGTTGGCACCTCCTCGAGATCGCTTCGAACACGCCGAGCTCTCCTTCATTGAGCTGGTCCTTCGTCGCGCCCATCTCCAGGAGCTCAGACAAGAACTGATGTTCGTCGACCCCCGCGTCCGCTGCGGTGAGGTTCTGCGTCTGCCTCCACCGCATATGACGCTGGAGGGGGGTCTGGCCCAGCCTCTTGAACTGCTGCACGAGCCACATGGTGGTGCGAGGGCCCAGTACTGGCCAGTCTGGCATCGGGCTGGTGGACATGAGCTCGACCGCGTCCGAGAAGTCCCTGATCCTCGTGCCTGCCCTGTCGTACCGAACGGGCAGTGTGCGGAGGTCCTGCTCCTCAGCAGCCGTCTCCTTTCGGGGGGTGCTCGTCCCCTCGAAGGTGCCCCACTTCGCGACCGCCAGCATGGTGCCATCCGCGAGCTCGACAATCCCGCGATCGCCAGCGGTGCTGCGGGGGACGGCCCCAGCGAGAAGCTCGTCACCTGGACGGTAACCAGCTCGGGACTCCAGGACCACCCAGCGCACAACATCACCAGCGTCAGCGCGAACGCCGAGAGCCTTCGCAGGCTCCGCGTCGCCGTCGGGGGCGGGCAGCGCTGGCAGCCCCGCACCTTCAGCCGGGAGTCCCTCCTCTCGGCGGACCTCCTCAGCCAGTGCGCGCCCTTCATCGAGCAGCGCCGCCTCGTTGCGTTGATACCTGTCCATGTCCATGCGCAGGATGTGGCCAGACAACTTCGTAGGCAGGCCTCCCATCGGGCCAACCAGGCAAAGGTGCAGGGCATCCGAGAGGTCCTCCTCGTAGATGTCAAAATGAAGAGTAACCACCACCCAACGTGTGGGAAAAACACGGCCCAAGAGGACTCGCTCATGCCAGTAATTGTCCTCTCGCTCGTAGAAGACGAGCACGCGGGCCCCCGCTCGAAGGCTTGCCAGCGCCTTCGCCGTCCGAGCCGCTGCCATGCGCGTCCTCGAGCGCCTGGGCCCGATGGCGGCAGCTCCACGCCGCGGCCTCCCGCGCGCAAAGGCCCAGCACCAAGCCGAGCGCCAGCGCGAGACCGAGCTCCAGCCCGGTGCGGCCCGACGGCGGGCAAGCGGGCACCTGGGCCGGCTGCCCGTGGAGGTGCTCTGGCCCGCACCTGTCGAGCTGGCCCTTCAGCAGCCCGATGAGCGCCTCGTCTGGCGAGGCGTCGAAATGGCAGCTGCAGTCGCACGCCCGCGTGTGCTGGCCGCCACCAAGCCAGGTCCCGAGCGCCTGGCCGCCGACAGTGGCTGCCCAGCGCGACCCAGCGTCGATCAGGGCGGCAGCCATACACGGGACCTTTTCCCGAGCGAGGTGCCTTGAGAGAAGACAGCGGCACACACGGCGGATAATTCACGCGAATCACTTACATTGGCTGCTGTCCCAGGGGTCCGGTCTGCTTGGCCCGAAGAGTTTGCCAAGGCCCCTGGGGGAACAGAATGGCACAGCATATCGGGCAAAGGGGGGCGGTAGCTGGCCTGTCAGACCCGGCGTTCGTCTTCTGCCCAAGCGGCGCGGGGCCCACGGGCCCCAGGGTTGGCGGCCCGCTGGGTTTCCTCTTGTTCGCCCACAGGGTTGGAGGAGGCCTCCAGGCGAACAGAATGGGGCAGGACAATGAATGTGGGAGACTTGTCGCAAGCTCCCAGCCCCCCCAAGTGTGCGCCCGAAGGGTGTGGGGCCGCGTTGGCTCCCTCAAAGGGCCGTCTTGGAGCCGTCTAGGCCCGTCTTGAGGGCGCCGTTTGCCCTGATGGGGCCGTCTTGGTTCGTCGTGGGCCCCTCATGGGCGCGTCCGTAGGCCGTCCTGGGCCCATCGGGGTCCTCGTGGGGCTGTCTTGGAGCCGTCTGGGACCGTGAGGGGGCCGCCTTGGAGTCGTCTTGGGCCCCTCCTGTGCGCCTCCTTGGGCCGTCCTGGGCCCAGCAGGGGCCGTGTTGGCACCCTCTTGGGGCTGTCTTGGAGCCGTCTTGAGCCGTCGCAGCGCGCCTTGGGTTGTGCTGGGTCCGTCTTGGCCCGTCTTGGGGCCTTCCTGGGCGTTTCCTCGGACCCTCCTGGGACTTTCTGGGGCCTCTTGGTGCATCGGACCGCCGAAACGGCGGGAAACGCAAAGGGTGTCACAATAAACAATGGAAAATTAACGATTTTTGCCAACTGGGGCTCTCTTGCCATCCTGGCCCGTCTTGAGGCCCCGACCGGGCGCGTCTTTGGGCCGTTCTGGGCGCACCCTCCTGGGACCGTCTTGGAATCGTCTTGGGCCGTCTTGAGCGTGCCTTGGGCCGTCCTGGGCCCGTCTGGGGCCGTGTTGGCACCCTCGCGGCGAGGAAGCTCGGAGGCGGCCTCGAGGCCTCTTTGGGGCCATTTTGGAAGCTGTTGGGGCCTCTGTTGGGGCCTCGTTTTGGGCTCCTTGGGAGCTTCCTGGGGCCTGTTCGGGGGATTCTTGGCGGCCCCTTGGGGCCTCTTGGGGGCCTGTTTGGGCCTCCTGGCGCCCTCTTGGGGAGGAAGGCTCGGAGTTTCGGTCCGTGGTCCTTCTCTTGGCCCCCTCTTGGGCCTGTCTTCGGGCCCTCGTGGGCCGTCTTGAGCGTCTCTTGGGTCGTCTTGGGGCCCTCTTGGGTCGTCTTGGGGCGCTCTTATAAACCTCTTGGGCCGTTCTGGGGCGCTCTTGGAGGCCTCTTGGGCCGTCTTCGAGCGTCGGAAAGCGGAAAAGGCGAGAAGGCCAAAATCCTTCCCAAACCGTCGTAAAGCTGATGATGTTGAGGCCCACAACCGTCCAAAACCTCCTGAGGCTGTCCCCTCGTCCGCCCCCCTCGCTTCGAAGCAATTTTTAAGCCCCGTGGCACCTCTTGGGGACCTCTTTTGGGCTCCTGGGGGCCTCTTGGGCCTCTCTGGGCTCGTCTATCGCGCCCCTTGGGCTGTCTTGGGGCCCCCTAGGGCCTTCTTGGGCGGTCCTCGGGGCGTCTTGGAGCCATCTTGGGCCGCTCTTCGGGCCATCTTGGGGTCCCGTTGGCCTGTCTTGGGCGCCTCTGGGGCCGTCCGGGGGCCGCCTTGGACCGTCTTGGGGCCCTCTTGGACCGTCTTGGGGTCCTCTTGGGGACCTCGTCGACCGTCTTGGAGCGGTCTTGGATGCCTCTGGGGGGCGTTCGGAGCGTCGGGAAGCCGAAAAAGCGAGGAAGCAAAAAACCTCCCGGAAACGAATGAAAATCAACGATTTTGGCCTCTCGGGCCTCTCCTGAGATGCCTCTTGGGAGGCCTATTGGGCCGTCTTGGCGAGCTCTGGGCGGTTCCTCGGGCCGTCTTGGAGCCATCTTGGGCCGCTCTTCGGGCCATCTTGGAGTCTCGTTGGCCTGTCTAGGGCGCCTCTGGGGCCGTCCGGGTGCCGCCTTGGACCGTCTTGGGGCCCTCTTGGACTGTCTTGGGGTCCTCTTGGGGACCTCGTCGACCGTCTTGGAGCGGTCTTGGATGCCTCTGGGGGGCGTTCGGAGCGTCGGGAAGCCGAAAAAGCGAGGAAGCAAAAAACCTTGGGGAAACTAATGAAAATCAACGATTTTGGCCTCTCGGGCCTCTCCTGGGATGCCTCTTGGGAGGCCTACTGGGCCGTCTTGGGGAGCTCTTCGGCCGTCTTGGGCCGTCTTGGAGCGAGGAAGCAAAAAGCCTCGGGAAAACACATGAAAATCAACGATTTTGGCCTCTCGGGCCTCTCCTGGGATGCCTCCTGGGAGGCCTATTGGGCCGTCTTGGGGAGCTCTTGGGCCGTCTTGGGCCAATCTTGGGCGTCTTGGCCGGATCATTGCGCGTCTCGGGGCCCTGTTGGGCCGCCTTCGGGGCATCTTGAGCGGCTCGGAGCCGTCTTTGGACCGTCGGGGCGGCCTCCGGAGCGCCTCGGAGCCGTTTCTAGTCATTTGGCTGGATTTCCTTCCGGCACGCGCTTCCTCCGGCCATATAGTATAGACTAGGGCTGACCGCGGCCTCCCGGCCGCGGAATCTGCCCGCCATGGCGTGGACGTGGTAGTGGAGCGTCTCCGAGGCCTCGCAGGTGAGGGGAGGTTGGAGGGGACGGCGTGGATGGAGGAGGTGGCCGCTGGAGGGGGAGGTGGGCGAGGGATGCAGGCAAGCAGGCCTGAAGGAAGGACCGCGGTGGTGGAGGCCCGTGTCAGTGCAAACGCACCCATGGCGGCATGACATGGTGTGGACAGAAGTTTTTCCCACGCCGCAATATGTGTTCATCATAGCTTCCGCTGGGAGGGTAGCCGTGATAATTTGATCTGCTCTTCGCCGAATGAACATTTGATTTGTTGGTAGCGTGGTGACAATGGGGCCGGCGGGCGCGGCCTAAGAGGCAGGCGGCGAGACGGCCAAAAAGGTCCCCAAGATTGGCCCTGAGGCTTCCCAAACGGCCAAAAAGGTCCCCAGCGGGGGCCCCGCGAACTCCTGAAGACGGGCCCCAGTGCGAGGACACGAATCGGCCTTTCGAGCGCACCGCCCCAAGACGTCCCCCAAAGGCGCAGAGATGGCTCCCAGAGGGTCCAAGAAGCCCCAAAGACGACGTTGGAAGATCGACGCTCCCCAAGAGAGAAGGATCCAAGGCCTCTTGGGGTCTCGGTGCCCTTTTGGGCCGTCTTGAAGGCCTCGTGGGCCGTCTTGGGGCGATGTGGGGCCGTCTCGGGCGCCTGTCGGACCATCTTGGGGCCGTCTTGGGGTCATCTTGGGCCGAGCTCTTGGGACTGTCTCGGGTGTTTCTTGAGCCGTCTCGGACGCCTCTGGAGCCGTTCCGGTGCCGTCTCGGGCCGTTTGGGGGTCCTCTTGGGGGCGTCTAGGAGCATCTCGGGTGATCTGGGGGCCTGTACAGCCAGCCGTATTGGAGACTGCGCAGACGGAAAAGCTTGGAGACGGGGCGGCGGGGGCCTGTACAGCCGTCTTGGAGACGGGGCGGTGGGGCCGTCTTGAGCCATCATGAACTGCTCTTGGGGCTGTCTTGGGTGCATCTTGGGCCGTGTCGGGCGCCTCTGGATCCCGGGGCCGTGTGGGGCCGTTCTGGGGCGCTCCGGGGGGGCCTCTGGGCGCGTTTTGGGGCGAGCTGGGGGGCCTGTATAGCCATCGTGGACGCTGTGAGGACGAAAGAACAAGACATAGTGAAAATGTGCGTTTCCCGCAGGGACTTGGACGACTTTGGTTTGGGGCTTTCCTGGAGGCCCTCCTGGGCCATCTTGGGAGCGTCCTGGCCTGCCTTGGGAGTCCCTGGGGCTGTCTTGGGGCCCCCAAGGGTGCTCTGAGGCCGTCTTGGCGCCCCCTGGGGCCCCTCGGGGCCGTCCCGTGGGCCAGTATTGACTGCTCTTGGGGCTGTGTTGGGTGCGTCTTGGGCAGTGTCGGGCACCTCTGGAGCCCGGGGCCGTGTGGGGCCGTTCTGGGGCGTTCCTGGGGGCCTCTGGGCGCGTTTTGGGGCGAGCTGGTGGGCCTGTATAGCCGTCGTGGACGCTGTGAGGACAAACGAACATAGTGAAAATGTGCGTTTCCCGCAGGGACTGGGACGATTTTGGTTTGGGGCTTTCCTGGAGGCCCTCCTGAGCCATCTTGGGGGCCTCCTGGCCTGCCTCGGGGGCATCTGGTGCTGTCTTGGGGCCCCCCGTCTTGGCGCCCCCTGGAACCTCCCGCCCCGTGGCTATAATGAATTGCTCATGGAGCTGTTTTGGGTGCGTCCTAGGCCGTGTCGGGCGCCTCTGGAACCATCCAGGGCCGTGCGGGGCTGTTCTGGGGCGTCCCTGGGGGCCTCTGGGCGCGTTTCGGGGCGAACTGGGGGGCCTGTATAGCCGTCGTGGACGCTGCGAGGACGAAAACAACACACACATCGTGAACATGTGGTTTCCCGCAGGGAATGTGACGATTTTGGCCTCTTGGGGCTCTCCTGGAAACCCTCCTGGACCGTCTTGGTGGCCGCCTGGCCTGCCTTTGGGGCCTCTGGGGGCCTGTTTGTGTTTCATTGGGGGGGTCTTGGGGCCTTGTGTGGTCGTATGGGGGCCCAGGGCTCGGAGTGTCAAGGTTTTTCCACGTTCTTTGGCCCCCTCTTGGGCCTGGCTGGGGGTCCTCTGGGGCTGTTTTGGGCGCCTTTTGGGCTCTTGGGCCATCTTGGGCCTCCCTGGGCCGTCTGGGGACGCGCTTGGAGGCCTGTTGGGCCGTCCTGGGGCGGTCTTGTAGGTCTCTTCGGCCGTCTTGGAGCGTCGGCTAACCGAGAAGGCGGATAGGCGAAATTCCTTCCAAAACACCGGAAAATAAAGGACTTTGGCCTCAGGGGGCATGCTTCGGAGGATTATTGGAGGCTCTTGGAGGCCTCT